TCTGCTCGTCAATCGTCGACGCACGATGTCCGCACTAATGTGTCGCTGGTGTGTCCCCATGTTCTGTCGAGCAGTTTCCGCAGCAGTAACAAAGCGATCTTGAAGATGCTGTCGCACAATCTGACGATCCTGACGTCGGGTGGTGATGCTTGGTTTTCCACTACGTGATCGGTCATCTGTAGTGTTGGTGGTCTGGTACAGTTGCTGGGGCCTGTATATGGTCTTACGTGGACTTGAAATGCATTGGCTACTTGCCGGGCGGTTTGTCCAGCTTGCAATCGTCCAAGGGCTTAGTGTCGCTGATTTCTTGTCAGTCTTGGCATGTGGCAGCAATTCAATAACGAGTGAATGTTATCCGATCTGGGTGGATTTTTATAGGGCAAGAAATGGGGGAACGCATGCGCATTTCAATTTGCACGGAACTCACTGCATCGGATCACCATGGCCGTTGCCGTAATATTCGTCACACAAAAACGTCGAGTAAAAGGGATGAAATGGTTTTGTGTCGAATACTTTGGCTATACTGGAAACTGTCCTGGAACATTGACACAAGCCACTTTCACCGGCTACATTTTTTCAGTACTGTTGTGTCGTCACAAGCCATGCTCATGCCTCCCTTGTTCCTTACTATACTGAACAACAAAAGTTCCTGTGACATTGAATAAGATTTAATGCAAAGTTATGTTTTTTACCAAATCTGAAACAATTTCGGTTTGCAACAGATAAAAGACTCCTTTCAGTGTTCAAATGGTTTAATTTGCCATACTGACTTCAGAAAATGCGTTGAAATCATAAAAAAACATGAACATGCCAAAATGTCAATTTACAAATCATAAGCGTGTGTGTCCACCTCTGGTCGCGATGCAAGCAACACATCTTCGCCTCATGGACTGGACCAGGCGTCGCACAAAGTCCTGTGGGATATCTGTCCATATCAGCTGGAGCATGTTTCGGAGTCCCTGGAGTGTCTGTGGAACACGTGGTTGACGTCGAAGGCGCCGATCCATCTCATCCCAAATGTGCACGATTGGTGAGAGATCAGGGGAGCGAGCCGGCCAGGGGATGACATTCACGTTGTTTTGTTGAAGGGAATCCTGAACCAGTCGAGCAATATGAGGCCGGACGTTGTCATGTTGAAAGGTAATGCCTGGGTCATGGCGACGCAAAAACGGTAGAACAACAGGGCCGATGATCTCCCTCTACCACTATCAAACGGGTCCTCTGTCTTGCTGTAATCCCACTCAATACCATAACGCTGCCGATCCCGAACAGATCATATTCCATGACACAATGATTGACGTAACGTTCACCTCGACGTCGGTACACTCGAATCCGTCCATCACTGTGGCTGAGGTGAAAACGAGACTCGTCAGTGAATAGAACTTGTCCCCACTGCATGGCCGTCCAGCGTAGACGCTGTCTACACCACTGTAGACGTGCTTGGCGGTGCTTACGCGTGGCCTGCCACACCGAGAATGGTCTCGGACTGCATTTGTCTGTTGCCAACGTTGCCATAAACACCAAAATGGTGTTTATGTGGACGTTAAATTGTCTTGCAACACCACGTTGACTCGATCCTGCTTCAAGCATACCAATGGCTCGCAGACGCTCATTTTCGCACTCGTCATGTCATTTCGTAATGTTGAATAATCGCGTAATTTTGTTGTTTTTCTGAGTGGTTGTTGTCGGCACGATGCTAAACAATGCATATGGAATCCCGTTAACGCACATGCTTTAATACCCATTCTTGGGTAGTGAAATGAATGGGGCTTGCATATAAGTCAACTTTTGCATGGAATGCATGCTTTTCTGTAGCAGTTGCGTTTTTGTGACTTGATTCCATACATGTACTACAATATTGAAAGCCAAACTTTACTTGTTTGAAAAATACACTAAAATATTGATGTCACAGGAACATTAGTTGTTGAGTATATTTAAAATCTGTAATGTCAGAAATACTTAACAGTGGTTTCAGGTTACTGGTGATGCTCATGTTTAATTAATAGTGGTACACAAGTGATCACTTGGTATATGATTGTTTGAATTTTAAAGTTAATCAATCCGAGTCCCTGAAGGTATTTGAGTTTCAAATTTTCAAAATTTGTTTACAATGACCATCTGTGTCCATGTACACATAGTTATTTAACATGGTTATTTGTTATTGACCAGCTATATGACGGCGGTCTGTAAATAATCGAGTCTGGTCCAGACAATCCAGTTACTGACATCATGAGCAACGATCCATGCAATTGGGATATACGATGACATGCATCAACCATTGCAAGCATGGGTTGCTGAAGACCTATCTACCCCGGATCTTCACGGGTTAACTGGTGGCTGGATCACGGGCATAATTTATTTGTGCCTGTATTGATGAATGAAAACGAAAATATTTATAACATTTCAGCTGGGCCCCGCCGGAACAGGCCAATGAGACGATGGCTGTGAGCGCCTTCGAAATATTAAACATACACCATGTTATGTAATTTTTCATTGGTCGCTATTTTTAGACGCAGCACTACGCTTCTACAACAGCCACCACTGAGAAACGTCACTACTTTAAGTCATTTTGTTAGATATGTGCCAACATCTGGTGCAGGAAAGGCCTTCAAACTTTAAATTGTACTTAACTGTAGGAAGTTAAATTTCCAAAATTATCTTCTTCATACATTTTACGTACATGCTATCAATATGTAAGAGAAATGATAGTAAACATAGTCTTGCGTATTCTTTGCATGAAAATTTCGCAGGTTTTCGAATACACCCCCAAATTGTGCTATGCGAGAAAAATATTTATTATACACTTGTCAGAAAACTTTGAGCGAATAAAATATTCTCAGGTATTTGAGCCACGCATACAATATAAATGTCGCATTGAAAATATTCCTAACTTTATCTTTCCATTCCATGACGTCAAAAATGTTTATGTGTAATATATATGATGCGACTCTTCTGACAAAATAGAAATGTGTTGTACGACTCGTGTGTGGTTGCAATATACTAGTATTTATTGGATGATTACGTTTAAAATGATGAAAGCTCTGTTGAAAACATTGAAATAGGAATAGAATAGCAATAAACCATGGCCGATGTTGATAATTTCTAGCTATATTTTTTAAACAACATTCAAATGCAATACAATTATTATACCAACGAAATAAGTCAATGTCCGCTACTCAACACATGGGCAGAATCATAATGGATGGTTTCTATTCATTCACCCACTCATCACTTCTAACTTTGTACAACGTTGTAGCTGAGTGACAGCAGAATGAAGGTGACATTCCTTTTCAAAGAGTTACAAATAATAGAGGTAATGTAGCCTAAGATTGCACCTGGGTGCGGTCAGATGTCGATTTTCTTTTAAACATGGATGGTATTCAGTAACTATTTACATAAATCAGACCTGTGTTAAGTGATTATGTTGATAATTTTCAAGATCGTTGGAAAGATGGTATGGGGTCTTATGGTATGCCTTCTTAGAAAACTGCTTATCTCTGTGGCATCGAACTATCCCCAAACAATCAGAGAGAAGAGGTTCTCTTACCTCGTCTCGGGCATTGTTGTCTTGCTGCATATCTCAATATTTAGCCAAATAAAAACATTTCTGCACATTGTACAGTTCATTATTAACTGCATTGTCAAAAATATATGACTCAACGTAAGGTAATGATGTAACACTTGTCCAAATTTTTAAAAAATGTCGTATACGACACTATAAATCTATCAATTTCTAATGTAAACAATGTTCACACAAACAGAAGATTATCAAAGGTTCATACATGTTGTGGCCTAGATCTACATATGATATCATATCGAACATTGACAAATATCCAAAGTGAAATTAAATGCGTGAACAAATGTATGAAAGATATGCAAAATCTACATAATAGTTATAACTGTAAACAGCAGGATACAATGATCGTGTGTGCTTTCATTCAACATTGTTCAAGGACCTTCATCTCAAAGAAATTACGGGGCGGTCGGGTAACCCAGTGGTTAAAGCGTTCGCTCGTCACGCCGATGACCCGGGTTCGATTCCCTACATGGGTACAATGCGTGAAGTCCATTTCTGGTGTCCCCCGCCGTGATATTGCTGGAATATTGGTAAAAGCGGCGTAAAACCCAACTCACTCACTCAAAGAAATTACCAAATATGCACAACAATGTTGGCGTATGACATCACTACCGGTGACCGACTTTTAAAAAATGGCGTGTTCACTGTCAACAGTACACGGGATTTTACGAGGGGACTTTCGTTGATTCAGGGATCGTATATACATAAATGTGACGTGTAAGTTATCAGAATCATTCTGAAAATCAGTGTACTGTTATTTGTTGTGATATTTTTCATTTAAACCAACGGAAATAGTCAGAAATGACGATAAATAGTATTAAATACCGTTGTCTTTGTGCGTGATTTTGCGTCAGTCATGGCGTCACACGTACAGGACACCTTCGTTACACTCTCGGTAACATCGCTGCCACCAGTGCGGGCGCGGCCATTACAAGAATCTTGAAATTTGGCCTCTAACCCCAAATGCAGTCACTTTCCTACTTTTGTTTATGTCTTTGGGAATGCCATCATAGTGAAAAGGTTTACGACTGACCATGTTTTCCAGATGAATTTACTTTTTTGTTTTAATAATCAGATTAGTTCGAGATTGCAGACTAACGAAAAATCAACCAACTTCTCCCTTACATTCTTACTATATCAATTAAAGATGATAGTTTATATGAAATTGAAATTCAAATTGACAAACAAAGAAAGTAATTTAGCAGCGGTAAGTGTCTTCGGCGTCACGACTGTCGTCACTTGTTTGTGAACATAACGGTCATTCGGTTGCGAGTTCAACTCCAAGCATGGTTTTGGCCACCTATCACAGTGGGGAGTTTTGACTGGTGGCAGCGATAGTATATAGAGCTCCGCGAACGGGCTATCGCTGCGTGGAGCTTGGGCGCGCATAGGGAGCCGGGAACCAGCTAGACTGCACTTGTTCCGGTTTCTAATCAACGTCGCCGGAACGAACGGGAACCAGTCTAGGAACCAGCTCATGAAGAGCGTTGCTTTTATCGCATGGAACTCTGGGTAGGAGAGTGGCCAGTTTGATGCATTTTCGTTGAGTGCCGTTTTGGATATATCCGACCACAAATCTGGACTTCCGGTTGACAACCATCCCAACCGCTACCACCACCGTCAAAAGAGAAACATTCAACATGTCGTCGATCAAAACCGTTGCTACCTTTGCTATCATCATTGGCTGTTTTGCCGTGCTGTATCCGAGGTTTCTTCATCCAATGATGCTGCGGATATGTGGACTTCAGACAAAGAGTTCTGGTGACGTCTCAGGTGCAAAATATTTACAAATGGAGTCTCCCCAGTTTCAAGTGACGAAATAATCCTGCATACTTGTTATTAATATTAACCTTCTTGGTGCCATGCGACCATATATAGTCCCTCACTATTCACACCCCATTAGTGCAACGGCATCATACATATGGTTCAAAGAAAATATCGCTTTTTCTACTGTGAATTAAAATGTCAAACACTGGGTCCGTAAATAAACATTCGAACCGTCATATAACTCTAATCACCTCAGCTTTATCATGCATATTTTATACAGAATTTTGGGAGTAGTGCACTTTTTCAGATCCAATTAGGGCTGTGGGGGCTCGAACGCGTTTTGCTGGCTCACTGGCTTTGCGAATTAATGCGTTAATTAGCCGACGCTCTACCACTGGACCACGGGCGCTATCACATGTAATCAGTGCTCGTTTAACGGGTCATTAGAATCCCAATTAACATGCATGCGTAATTCAGTAAACAATCAGTTGCGCATGTGTGTGGCATCACAGTCCGCTCTCCCATTCATCTTTTCTTGAAACCACACCCGCCATTGTCAACATGACCAATCGGATTAACCAAATTAACGCTTGAAAGTAAGAATTTATGGCTAACCCTTGCCCAAAGCAAGCTAACCCTAAGGACCGAAAAGGGGTGTTGGATCGTTAAGACGTGTAAGTTTCACTAAGACCGAAAAAGGGGTGTTGGGTCGTAAAGACGTGTAAGTTTCCCTAAGACCAAAAACGGGTGTTGGATTGTGAAGCAAGAGCTTAAGACACAGTAACGGTATAGCGAGACAGCGGTGGCACTATAGCGCGGTAAATGAGCGTATGGTAGACCTTGGGCTGTGCCCGGTAAACTGCATTGTTGCCCAAAACTTAAGATGGCAAAATATGTAAATATTAGTAAAGTGCTTAGCATGCTTGAAGTTTGACAGACAGCAAATTTTGATTCTGCAACACGTCTAGAGTATGAATCTATATTATTGCGGGCTCTATATTATCTCTGTATCTGTAAATCTCGTAGTCAACACCTGTTGACTGTTGACTTATGCAAATCTGAAGATGCTGTTTCATCGCTTGATCGAATACAGGACTCGTTACAGTATGTCATGGCCATGTATGTATACACTTTGTACTCGGACCCTGTGGTACCACGGCATTTGTGGTTTCCGGTAGTTAACGCGTACACGCCACTAAGCAGCTGTCTATAAATGCAAATCAGTAACCATGCAGGAAGTGCTCATTCCATAAACAATTTCAAATTCCTTGGAATGTTCTGTCTGCTTTAGTAAGGAGTTATTAACGTGTTGATACTTACTTCTGTCAGCTTTTTAATATTGCCTTACCCCCATGACAATGATATAACCCGCAGTTTTCTAAGTAAACTTTCTCCTTCGGCCTGAAAAAGATCATCTGTATATTCATGGTGACTAATAAGGTAAAGGAAGTGTTGTGTAGTCCGCCTATTTTTTCCTCACTCTGTGGCCAGAATTTATTAGATCATAAGGCCTTGATGGTCATAATGCCATACTTTGAAATATGTTATTCACTAGAAGCCAGATGATAAATACATACTTTTGGCTAACTAGAAGTGCTTTATACATGTTATATATATTTATTGTTAACTTTTAACATTTTTCCATTTTTTTGACAAATTATTGTCATCCAATTTTTTAAACAAACATCTTAAAATATCATTTCTGATATTTTGTTGTTGATTTTTTAAAATATTATTTTTCTTATTTTTCGGTAAATATGCATTGAATACCTATTACTGATAACACATTCAGAATTTTAGTTGTGTTGTCTTTGCACTTGTCTGGACAAATCACTGAAGTCTGGCATCATCATACTTAGTGGTTGGTAAAATTATGTCCTGTTGTCATCCATTTCGGACCTCCATACACAACTTTTTCCTGCTCTTCGATATGATGGAGTTCTCTCCCTTGTCAAACTGAGCGCGAGGCCTGGGTTTCACTCGGCGTTACTAATGTAGATAAAAAACTTTTATTAGTAAAATATGCATAGTTACATAAATAAATGACATCTGATATAGAGAACATGAATAATCATAAAGGTTAGTGAGTGCATTTTGTTCTGTTTAGCATACAGAACAAGTACCGCGATACCCTGAGGTTGAGGCTAACTCTCAGAACCGGTATTAAATGCAGAATAAGGACTAGAGGAAAGGTTGGCACAAATTTTAATACTGCATATGCAAATAGCCTAATACAGAAATAGGCATACTGCCACGCAATGCTTTTATCACCATGTGTTGGTAAATGACTGATCTCTCCTGGGAGGCCCGCTTTGAATGCCCAAGTAACCCCCCCACCCAACGAGATGAGTGCCCCATGAGGGAGGCCTTGATAACCTGACTTGTCAGAACCGAACTGACTAAGTCAATAAACACATTGTAGGACAAAACTTTGCCCTTGCAGTCACAATACAAAGGCACGGCTGCATGAGGATGGACATGTCTGTCTTAAAGTGCCTCCAATGCTTTAACTGGACACAAACGGTGGTTGCCCAATGCAGGAAGCGTGACCTACAATATACTCTCATGAAACTGTAGTTTCTTTGTCCACCTCATATGCCCTTGGCATGTCGTACTATATCCATAGTATGCAAGTCTCTTTCTTCATAGAACGTAGCAGGCCAAAAAAAACCTACTAGACATGCTGCCCATGTCTACATGTGTAGCTTACTTGAAAAATCCAGTCCCTCCAATTTATGGAGAAGTAAGTCTAGGGCTCTGCTTCAAGATTCTCAAACCTGTCTCTCATCCCCTGACATCCTCTGGGTAGAACATCCATGCATTTCATGCCTTGCTGCTCTATCGGTGTCTCTGGCGATTTTAAATCGGCCATAATTTCTGCTATGCGTGCCCCCGCTCCACATCTTTTGCTTCTTACAGCCATCATGTCACAGATAGCTGGCCATACTGTTCGAGGTTTCACAGGGACAGTCCAAAACTGAATCTTAAAAATGCTGTGACTCAAAGTGCATGGTCTGCTCGCCATGCTTGACTAGGAGGACATAGGTGACGCTGGGATAAGGGAGGTTACTCTTGACTAAAACTGGGTTACCTAAAGTCAAACTACATTACAATAACTTTTTTATGATAGTTTCTTGAATGATTTTAAAGTGGAATTACCCCTACCTCCATTCAAAATTGGTTAGAAAAGAACCCATTTGCAGGCCTCAAAGTTGCGATTAAAACGGTCGCCAATGCGACCTAAATTTCAATTTGTCTACTGTCCAAAATTCAGAGGTAACCAAATGACTACCTTGTGCAATATGTTGTGGCGACTAAATTCTATTGCTACACATATCTAGACACAAAAACAGTTGATCTTGGAAGACACGTCTGTTACTAATGATGTAAGGGAGGTAACTCTAAACCCGGAAGTATTTCTATAAATAGAACGCAATGTTAATGTAGTTTGGAATGGTTGTGTGAGTGTTGTGATGATGTCATCATAGTAATACTGTTGTGTTGTCAGTTATGGTTTTGATCGGAACAAGTAAACATCGTTTGAGTTTACCGGCGACTTGAGTCTTATTTCACTAATTGTACTCACAAATAATTCCTCCTAAAGTCAACAATGAACTGAAATACATAAATATTAATGTTATTAGTATTTTATTTTAATTGATAGTTTATTGGATAAGCAAGGGTATACCTATATAATCTAGAAACATAAATTGCATCATTGTTCGAGTCACAAATGACCGAACTCAAGTACAGTTTCCACAAATATACAATTCCAAGACTACTGCTATGACTTGTACATATAATAGTTATTTCATACAAAAAAAATTAAATGCTTTTGGCTACCTTCAATATTGGCTTGACTTTACCACTGGCTACCTGGAAAAAAAATATTTGTAGCCATATGGCTACTTGGTAACAATTTAAACTTTGAGGCCTGATTTGTTTGGCTGATGTCCCTTGACCCAACCTAGGTAGTATGCATACTGATTATACATAAACCAAAACATGAAGTGATGTAAACCATGTAATCCTCACTTGTTACACCACAAAATATAGAGTTGCCTGCCCTTGAGTCTCAAATGACAGGTACTTTGTTTGTCAAACTCAGTAAATCCTAATTGATGTGTCATAAAAGTAAACAATGAACAAGAAACATTTTGCGTATGACATATTTAATCGGTTAGTAAGCTTTCACCATTACGATCCATTATGAATTAACTACCTCAATAATATAGCATACCATGCTGGGCTAAATAACCATTTGAGTATCAGACACTATATTTGAAAAGTGGTTAGTGAGTGAGTTGGGTTTAACGCCGCTTTGAACAGTATTCCAGTTATATTGCGGCGTGTCAGCTTAATGTGGGAGGAAAGCCTGAAATGATGCAGGTCTCAGACTTTACCGCTTCGGTGAAACCCACAAGCATGGGTATGGTGCTGACATACCTAGAAACATAATTGGGGCGAAGTAGGATTCGAACCCACAATCATAGGTTTCTGGCGGGCCCAAGGGATGCAGCTTTGCACAGCAAATCGCGACACCTTAGGCGACCGGGCCACCCGTGCACTCAAAATAGCAACAACCCTTATTATTCAAGCAACTAGATTGCATATTATACAACAATTACTACCCTGAAAACTCCCTTGTCATCAATGGTACAACCCTCCACCTGTGTATTTATGGACATTCTCTTGAAGCTCAGTAAATAATTTATTTCAGGTATAATTAGTCAAGTTACCATTTGGCATTTCTTGTGTCTTGGATAATTATTCAAACTAAGATTGGCTAATAAACCCAGGACACATGTTATCAACTTATTTAATATGCTCATGACGTAGCAGTATGAGAAGAATTATCAGTTGAGTTACCCAAAAACCATTGATCACACAATTATTCGATACGTTGATTGCTTAATCACTGTTGTCTTGCACAGTGGATGTGTCAAAAGTAAGTGTTTATATCATGTATTTATGTTGGTTTACTGAAGCAGATGGAATACACCCACATCTGGGCATGAAATGCCTATGTGAGAACAACATACTTTGTTCAAAGGATTAGCTGATAAAAACTCTGCAAATAAGAAATGAGAAAGTTATTTTATGTGTATATTTTATTATAAATAATCAACAGATGGTTCAGTTGTTCAAAATTGGCCTACATCATTGTCATTGACCAAGGTTCCATATGGCACACATGGAACAGTAGATTTCCAAGATGAAGGTCATAACATAAAAGTGGTTTAGTACTATCCCAAGACTATTGCAATGGTGTGGGCTACTATTGCAATGCAATCACAATAGTGAAAAATAGCCCCAATAGTTGCTCCTAAATGTGATTGTGAGATGAGTGTGGATGAAATTCTAATAATGAATTTATTATGCCAATTGACTGTGTGTGACTGTATGGTGCTTTAATTTGCAGATACTCCCCCAGGACGAAATATACATTCGGGAATTCGTCCTGAAGACCGGCGTCCTCCACATATGGGACATCAGGGTGGCGATCACAGACAACACATGAGGGTCAGTTAACATTTAATTTAGCAGCCCACTAGAACTAGGCATCAAGAAAGTTTGTGTACATGATAACTTGTGTATTATTATCCCCTGCCCAACGAAGTTGGCGGGGGATATAGAAACGGGCTCCGTCCGTCCGTCACGTTTCGTTTCCGGAGCATAACTCATAAACCGTTCAATATTTTTCATCAAACTTTGCAGGTCTGTCAGGTACATGCTGAACTGGTGCCTTTTGCTATTGAGAAATTTTAGAAATTTTTATTTTTTACGTTTCCATGGCAACAAGATGGACTTAGGTTCTGTGAGGGTAGGGTTTCTTTCCGGAGCATAACTCATAAACCGTTCAATATTGTTTCATCAAACTTTGCAGGTCTGTCAGGTACATGCTGAACGGGTGCCTTTTGCTATTGAGAAATTTGAGAAATTTTTATTTTTTACGTTTCCATGGCAACAAGATGGACTTAGGTTCTGTGAGGGTAGGGTTCATTTCCGGAGCATAACTCATAAACCGTTCAATATTTTTTCATCAGGTTCGTTGTTTTTTTTACAATTTCCATGACAAGTTTCACCTCGGTTAAAAAAGGTTAGGGTTTGTTTAGATTTAATTATGTCATAAATTCTGCAACAGGGGCGGGGGATATAGCCACGTTAGTGGCAAACTCTTGTTGGACATGGTATGTGATGTCTGCAGCATGATTTCAACAGCATCAATTTTTGTGTGATCTCCATGTAAGGTCGAGGTCGCTGGAGGTCAAATTATTAAGAAGCGTAAATCGAATGAAATTTTGGAATAATTCATGAAAACTTTGCATTTTCCTAACCCTTGTGATATGGTCACAGGAAATGCAAAAAAATGAATATTTGACTTTATTTCATGATAATTTTTCAGTGACAAATAATATGTAAGCATTTTTTCTACACTTGTCATGCGTCAAGCTTCATTCACATGTTTTTAGCCATCACTATGTTACAGTAACTATACATTTGTAATCCCACATATGTTTTCAAATTAAAATGTTCTGGCTGCTCAAGTCTAGATTACTGCAGTTTCTGAACATGAAGAGAGTCTCTGGGTTCCTTTTTATTATATTTTCATAACAAGATAATTTAACAACTGTTTTCTTCTGTCAAATATGTTCATTTCTGAGATTAAATGTTAGTCTAGGATCAGTGTTGCGGTATGGTAAATACTCTTTGGAGGTAATGACGTGATAAAAGTGTTCATTGTGTATCTGGACTTATGTTTGTAATCTATTAATTTATTAACTTATCCTGCATTACTCCGCATTTAATGCTGTCTTTTGACAGAGACGAACTGTGTGAGATCCAGCTGCCGAAGAAAGTTGTCCCAACCAATACAGGAAGCTGCGCCCGGCACGTGACCCGGAAGTCATGACGTCACATTAAAACACATAACTGCTTTGTCACCTCCACGGACGGACGTACTTTGTATCTCTTGTGGAGATTAAAGCTTATTGTTTCTATATTTTGTGTGTTTCTACATTCATCGTATGCTGCTACATTGTTACCTGTTTATGGGCTCTTACCTTCAGGGTCTTCCCATTTGTAATTTGTAACGTTTATCGCTCGTTTTTGGCTCTAGTCACAGTAATTTACGGGCGCAATGTTGTTCCCGCCATTTTGTTTCTTTCCCGCCATCTTCAGTGGCAGATCTTCACTGTTAGGCTCATTAAGCCTGTTTGACCCCTTCGTCATAGGCTACCGGGTACCCACTTCTCGGGATCATAGTTGACTGGTCTCGCAAATCACAGTGTATCATATCGCTCTGCACCGGCCCAGCCATTCGACGTCAACATCCACTGTCTTCTTCGTCGCCATTACCAACACCAACGCTCCTCTACCCTGCCTCAGCGCCAGCGTTCCTCAAAGAGGCTCTACCTTGGCGCTCCCTGGGTTTTCCATGGCGCTCCCGGTGATCCCGTGTTTTTTCTCAAAACACAGGTACACCACTTGTTTGTCGATCACACAGTTCATTGAGGATTGTCTGTGTGTGGAGATTGCACCTCATTTCCGGCTCCAATGCGGCTTTCTCGGCTACTGCGCAGAGTGATTTACATGTCACGTGTCAAGTACATGGACTGTCAACAAATCCGACCGGAATTAGGTCAACTGACCATGGCGAGCAGTGCATTATATTTCTACAGATTGGTTTGCTTGCTTACATGTATGCATGATGCAACCACTAAACCAGACGCCTGTCGCAGTCCATTCAGGCAAAGATGATGGAAACGGTAGACCTCCGCTGCCAACATGGCTGTCACGAGGCACCTCGTTTCATCGCCCCCTGGCTATAAGAATGATAGCGCCTATACAGCGTTCAAGGGGTGGAAAAGATCACCTTCCTTCGACAGTTTGATCTTTTAGACTACGACACCTTCATATCTTCAGCCTTGGCTACCAGACACAGCATCGAGTTTATACTTCGTCCCACGACCATTTCCATCAACCCCTGTTGACAACTTGCCTAGTATCGTGTTGTCGTCCTTCATCGTCACCTCGATAACACCTCAATCTACCCGAACCACAGTTTAACAGATTTCCTCATTCTCTTCTGGACAAATTGCCTCGACTTCCGACTACCTGGTTACGTTGATGCCTAGGCGGTCGATTGTGAAGCTGGGTTATTTCGTCTACATGGGGTTTGGTTCTCAGGCGAGCACACCTCTCCACGTATCGTCCCGACGGTACACGATCGGAGACCCCTGTTGCTGACTTTTCAACTTTGCAGTCTTGTAGACGACCTCATATACCATGACTTCCAGCTCTTCCACTGCCGCTTCCATCTTGACAGTGGCTAGTGTTCTGGTATTGCCCACACCACCGACTGTGATCCGGAGATCAACACATTGGCACAGCAACAGCCTCGAGATCAAAGCGCTTATCCAGGATGTCACTTGCTGGCAGAAAATTCTCGGTCACGCCCTGTTGATCATGTCCACTGACAACATCACCATAGTGTGGTGTTTGAGGAACCACGGTACTCTCCACTCTCCATCCCTGCTAAACCAGACCCTCCGCTTCCTTGACTTGGTGGTCAGCCTGGAATTCTAGAATTCAAAGCAGTGATTCTGGCAGTGTCCCATTGGTCAACACTTCTTCAGTCCTCCACACTTAATTATTCAGGCAGACAACCTATCGAGGGTACATAAACAAGATGGGATCCACCAAGTCAATGTCACTACTATCGCCAGTGCTCAACTTCTTCAAACTAATTGTTACGTGTCAATTCCGTAATTGAATTAATACGTTAACGCAGAAATCTGTACGTAAAAGAACATAGGGTGAAACCCCAAACAACCAACAAGTGGTATCCAAACAACAAATGTATTTCCAAAATTAACTCGGTTTACGAATCAATACAAATCACTTCACAGCAATTACAATGGCAATACACAATAGAGTGGTAGTACAACATTCAATGGCAATACATAATATGATTGCAGTTTTCTGTATCAAATACATAAATATAGTGGTGATAGCTAAAGTCAGTGATAACGATATATATTCACCCAGAAGCTACAGTGGTCAAGCTTCATAGAGGGGCTAGGCAGGGAATCAGGGATGATGAGCGATCCTCACATGAAAGCTGGTTCCAAAGTTATGAAATACATGAGAGATACGTAATCACGCTCTTGTCCCACTATGTATACACCCTAACAAGCTACTAGAAGTTTCCCTCACCAGTCTAGCAGCACTAGAACATTTCAGAACTTTCCATATGTTTCTATAAAATACTATCGCCGTCCGCGGTATGTGGACCGGAAGTTTACACACCACACTAGCATCAAGATACAACTACATCCCATGATTCTTCTGTGGATTTGCCAGTTATTTCCGTGCCGCGAAGTCGACCACTTTGCAACCTGCTTCAATACTCAGCTATCCCGGTTCATATCTCCAATCCCTGACCCTCTTGTCTGGGACCACAATGCGTTAGCAATCCCATGGGAAGGTCTACATGCTTACGCCTTTCCCCCCTCAGGCATTCTACATCGGGTTCTACAGAAGATAAGAGCAACCAATCTCCTCACACTGCTTTTGGTCACGCCCTACTGGCCAACTCGAAGTTGGTTTATAACGCTCACTCGTCTCGCAGTCACTGTTCCAGCTTCCTCGTAAATTTTCTACAGTTGTGATTTATAGACTAGGGAGTTGCACCCCACCATCCAACCGTGGATAAAATGCATTGTTGGAGATAGGATAAGTTAAAAAAATTGAAAATTTTATGATAAATTGTATATTTATATACTTATCCTATCGCACACGTTATATGCCCATCCGTCCATCCCCACATCGCAGGCATGGTGTCTTGCTGTGCCGTCGTATCCTTCCTTAGCCATGTAAAAACACTTATTATCTGGAGGTCGATTCCCATTTCACCCAGATAGTATCATTATGTCTGGAATTGTCAGCACTATACTCATGCTCATAGTTTCAGCAGACTGGAAAATGTTTGAGAATATCATAACTGCATCATTAATCCTGCAGCTTTCAAACACTTGCTCACAGCTAGATCTCTTAATGATATGTGGATGATGGTCTTCATCTGGGGGAACTTATCCCTTAATGCCATGAGTCTTATCTATGGTCTTTGCAATAAGAGTTTATGCTTCATGAATCCATTCCATATTATTTTGCATCTTATTGGCAAGTCTGTCAGTGTTTGGTTTTTAAAATCTGACAGCTAATTTTCATAAGTGTCTGATCATTGTTCACATTTGAAGCTGTACATAAATGCTATTTTTGATGAAAGTTTGTTAAGCATACTATTATAACTCCATATGCATTGTTGAGAGTTGTAAGGGCAAATGTCCTTGATTTGTGTGTTTTCAGCCCGGTCCCCACCCTGGCATGCGAGCAGCAGCAGAGATGCAGCGACAGCAAACTCAGCATGGAGCTGGGCGGGGCATGATGGGTATTGTCCTGCCCATGTATGCCGTGGGCATTGTCCTTTATCTCGTCTATACCTTAGTTAAGGTAACCAGTGTTGTCACAGTTGTCAAATGTTGTGACATTAGTTATGGAAGTAGATCATACTTGCTGTTAGAAGATGTATTTGAAGAATGTGAAGCCAGAAATTGTTTATAGAAGCCAGGTTAAAAGCCTATATTGAAGAACATATCTACGTTGCAGAAGACAACAAAAAGAGTTCGTAATTATTTATATCTGAAAGTCTTGATCAAGTCAAGTGTTAGCACTTCATAATGGGATTCCTCTGCAAGATCTGTGAACATTTCAGAAATCCCTGGACCAATGATGCTGAAACTTGGCATGCTTGCTTCCCACCAGATGCCTGTACTGCTTACATGTATATCACGAAACCTTGCTCACAATCCAATACATACCACTATTCTTGCATGTTATCTGTGGTGCAGAAGCCATGTTTTGAAAAGACTGGATGGCCAAATAACTGGCACACTAATGATTTACAGTTGGCAGTGTCAAGTATTGCACATCGGATGAATATATATACATTTCCACTACTCATTTTCACAAGTAATTAGTGTTTGGTGTAACATTTATTAAAGAATACATTTAAGGTAAGACTCGATACTTTTACTTAGTGTGTGATTGTGATCGTATTAAAGTGAAAAATCATGATGCATCGGTGTATCATCCCACTACTAGTACAGAGCACTAACCCTTCTGGTGTTCATCGCAGGTAGCACCACACTGACAGAGTGGAAGTAACAGAAACATTCTAGGTTCAACTTGGCAAAACAAATTTTGACACTTCATATTGGAATGCTGCAATGTATTGTTACACTCCTACAGACTAGTACCATTTATTGTTGCAACATTTGTTACATGTTGCATACATCTTGTGTATGTTCAACTTTATCACCATGGTGGTTGTATGCATACACTTCTAGAAATGATCATGTTCTCTAAGTAAGGTGTATTTTCAGGTGTTTGGAAAGAAAGATAAAGAGTTGGAATCTGGTGGCAGCTGGGGCTGCCAGACTGACAATCAGGCTGTCTACAACAATCCCTTGTCATCAACACCGCTAGACCCACTCAAAGCACAAGATTTCAACAACCTAATAAGCAAGGACAAGAAGAAGGAGCTTGAAAATCTGTTGCTGAAGGCAGATGATAAAAGCATCAGTAAGATTATAATCTTTCATTTCTGTAAAACACAAGCATACTGTCGCATGAATATGTTGAGAAAATGTTTTTAATAAACACTGCCCATAGACCTTTTAGCAATCTGACACATAGCTTCAAGGATTTTTACTGAAGCATTTACAAATTCTGTAAAATCTACTTTTCAACATAACTTATCTTGTCATCATCGTATCTAGAGAACAACCTGTAAGTCAATGAGTATATTGACAGTCTTGTTATATCGCTGAACCATAACTGTTTTGAAATGTTGAAAACTCTTTACCATTTTTTGGAGAACCCCTACAGCGCTGGAAACTCTTTGTTTATCAGTCCCCATGATGATACACATTCGCAAAACTTATTAATGTTAGTCATTTCTACTAAACTGTATTAGTCCTATGGATACCTAAGCTGTTATTTCTTTTAACTTATAATGCATAACACATAATAGTGCAATCTCTTGCTATTGAACAGAAACATAATCCCAACAGAGATCCCTCACCTTTTGTGGGAAGGTAAACCTTTTCAGCCATGTGCAGGAATCTTATATGAAGCATGGCCAGCCTTCCCCAGAACTGGCCTCTTCTTGGAGAACCCTATGTTACCAACACGCTGTGTCTTGGGTACAGCCTGCACCTCCATTAATAACATTACCATTCATCGAGGGGAGGGACTTAGAGGAAATGGCCCTACTTTAATCAAATATTGATGTTCTCATAGAGAAGCAGGCGCTAAAGGTGCTGTCAATGCCAGTAATGTCAAGGTTCATTTCGCTCATGTTTCTGGTCCCAAGAAGTTTGAAACAAAATAATAATGATTCTTCAGCAGAGATTATCTGGAGCACCCTCTGTGCTTCAAGATGACCACATTAGCGTCTCTCATGGTCAGACTCGCTGTCTTGGTTGATGCATGTCATTGTATACCAGTTGCTTAGATTGATGCTGATGATGTCAATCACTGGATTGTCTTGTCCAGGCTTGATTTATTAACAGACCTTCGTGGGAAAGGGCGTCGCAGAGGCAAACTCTCAAGGACTATTACTTACTCATCGTACTACGTCACGGTTACCAGCTATACGTAGAGGTAACCCCACCGTTGACCACAGCTCCGCCACCTTGGAAATATCCAAGAAATCATCATCTGCTATTAAAACCCAACATAGACATACTGTTGGTGATAAGAGCTTTACAGATGGTTCACACCCCAGACTTAACACCAGGTTTTTATCCTCACATCTGTCTGGTACCCATGAAGGACTAAGACAAGATGAGAATGGTCCACAATTTCTCCATGTTCAATGAACATTATCTGAAGTGTCCACATTACTTTTGCCTCACCACGTTGAGACTGCTCAGAACAAGCATCAATGCGTTCGATCATTGATCAGTCTCTACTTGCAGGATGCCTACCTGCATATACTCATCCATCCCTCAGACCGCAGCCTCCTCAGGTTCAAGTTCAATGGGCAGTGCTCCCATTTGGCATTTCAGTAGCCCCGTGGCTATTTACACGAGTAATGAGGCCAATAACTGCGTATCTACACCTGAAGAACATTTGGTTCGAGTCGTACATAGACAACTGTCTCCTGTGTCGTCAACACACGCCAACGTTAGTACACCTCCGGGAATTAACCAGACGGCTACTATATCAACTGGGATGGATAATCAACGAGGCGAAAAATGGGTATAAAAACATGTGCATTAACGGGGTTCCATATGCATTGTTTAGCATCGTGCTGACAACAACCACTCAGAAAAACAACAAAATTACGCAATTATTCAACATTACGAAATGCCATGCCTGTCCGAAAATGAGCGTCTGCGAGCCATTGGTATGCTTGAAGCAGGATCGAGTCAACAAGATGTTGCAAGACAATTTAACGTCCATCCTCGGAGTGGCAGGCCAAGCGTAACCAATAATCGACAGGACAACTGGATTCGAACAACACACCTACGAAATCGATTCCAGCAAGCAACAGTGACAGCAAGAAGCATCCCTGGCCTTCGACGAATATCTTCACAAACTGTACGTCATTGCCTCAGACGTGCAGGGATTGTCGCCAGAAGACCTGCCAGATGTTTCATTTTGACAGGAAACCACCGCCAAGCACGTCTACAGTGGTACAGACATTGTCTACGCTGGACGGCCATGCAGTTAGGACAAGTTCTATTCACTGACGAGTCTCGTTTTCACCTCGGCCACAGCGATGGACGGATTTGAGTGTACCGACGTCGAGGTGAACGTTACGTCAATCATTGTGTCATGGAAGAAGATCGTTTTGGGGGTGGCAGCATTATGGTATGAGGTGGGATTACAGCAAGACAGAGGACCCATTTGTTAGTGGTAGAGGGAAATCTCAATGGACTGCGCTACCGTGACAAGATCATCGGCCCTGTTGTTCTACTGTTTTTGCGTCGTCATGGCCCAGGCATTACCTTTCAACATGACAACGCCCGGCCTCATATTGCTCGACTGGTTCAGGATTCCCTTCAACAAAACAACGTGAATGTCATCCCCTGGCCGGCTTGCTCCCCTGATGAGATGGATGGGATGAGATGGATCGGCGCCTTCGACGCAACCACAAGTTCCGCAGTCACTCAAGCAACTTCGAAACATGCTCCAGCAGATATGGACAGATATCCCACAGGACTTTGTGCGACGCCTGGTCCATTCTATAAGACGAAGATGTGTTGCTTGCATCGCAACCAGAGGTGGACACACATGCTATTGATTTGTAAATTGACATTTTGGCATGTTCATGAAACCACGCATTTTCTGAAGTCAGTATGGCAAATTAAACCATTTGAACACTTACAGGGGTCTTTTATCTGTTGCAAATTTATAACATAACATAACTTTGTTTTAAAACTTATTCAATGTCACCGGAACTTTTGTTGTTCAGTATATGTCCCTGTTACCGGATCCGCAGGCTTGGGTGGTGGACGCGTTCATTATTGATTATGTGTCGTTGTTTCAGGGTGTGAATTATTGAGGATTCTGTACTTCTGAAGGTTTACCTGCCTCCACACCGTCCGATACAGATGCATAAAGCAGTACTGCAGGATACTTAAAGGATATAGTAAAATCTAAATATTTTTTTACATTTGTATACTTATCCTGCATTTCTACGTTTAAGGATCCACTGTCGCAGACTTGCCTCCCCACTTTAGCTTCAGAAACCTCAAAAGTAGGTTTTTTAAGCTCAGGCGACAGGCAGTGATGTGAGGAAGGTGACTTTTCATCAAGGTCACCTGACAGCGACGATGGTCCATACATAAAGCAAGAGTGGGGTTTTGAAACAACTTTATTTCTTCACCCAAGACCATTGCTGTACGCTGTACAATGATAAAAGATATTTTAGAAAATGCAAATAGACACCAATAGTTGAGATGTTTTCAAATGCCCATACCTCCCATCCATAGAGAAGAACTGGTATAACCATACTGTCAAAAAGCTGCAGTTGATATTCAAGAGATGAATTTAACTTCCATCCTTGGCATAAAACATAGTACATAGCTTCGTTGGCTGTTCTAGTAACTGTTTCTTTGTTAAATTGAATTTTTGAAAGGTAACAGCAAGGTAGTTATAGGAATGAACTTTTCCAAAAACATCATGACCAATTTTGAAATTATGTTTATAATCATTTTCTGATCCACCAAATATTAATATTTTAGATTTGGTAGTATTAATCTTAAGCCTCCAATGTATACAATAGCTATGAAATGAGTCTAACATATTGTTTAGATCAAAAGCATTTGTGGCCAATAAAACTGCATCATCTGCATACAGTAATACAAATATTTTGATAATATTTTCGTTTTGATCATAGAATTTATCAGTAATGTGCTCTTATGTGATGTCATAACTTCTGGGTCACGTGGCAGCTGTGTGAGTGTTCTGCTACACCACTGGTTGGAACAACTTCTTCTGCAGCTGAAAATCTCAGAGCTTTGTCTTTCTGTAAAAAAAACAGCAGTAAATGCATTAAGGAGTAATGCAGGATAAGTATACAAATGTATAAAATATTTAGATTTTACTAATACCAAGAAAAAAAATCAAAAGTTGTGAATGTTCCATCCTGTGTATTTTAAGGAGTCATGGTTGCTAGAATTTGACTGGTTGAGATGCCACAAATCGTCAGATACAATGTTTTGTAATCTATTGCTTGAAACAAGATAACAGAGGATCAACACGGCGCAAAGATATTTTGTAGCATAGCTACCTATTGATGCAAGTTCCTATACTGTCATAAAACGCACATGTGTAACCAGAAGATAAACAAATTGTAATTTGCATGTGGTACCTTCAGAATCAGGAATGAGAATATAGCAAATTACAGTTTAAATATTTGTGTAATATAAAAGTAGAAAACGAACATATATTGAAAACAAAACTAGTAATATCTTTTCAGTTCACAACAATGGCTTCCTGAAACATTTGTTATTGTTTTCAAGGAACATGTGGTATTAGGATGACACAATCATAGTGGTATACATGATACTGTTGACATTGATATATCTACAGTGGTAAAATTATTAAAAGATTTTCATAATTAATTTTTTCAAAGTAATAGCTACAATGTTGTAATATTATTTTAAATGAGGTTGATCTGCACATAGAGATTGACATGCAGATGTTGTTACAATTGAAAACCACGCCGTTGTGAGTGCGTTTGTTATTTTTATCCATGAACCATTCTTCTCTATGAGAGTTACCTTCCTAATGGTAATATGTTTACTCCTGTAGCCTTACTCATCAATTATTAACACTGTCCAGAAGTGCTAATATCTCACTACTTCCAAATGGGTCAACGTTTCCCGCGTAGTGATATGCTGTATGCATGTCTACGTCTCTCTTGACCGACACACCCACCTCACGGAAATGGGTCAACGTTTCCCGCGTAGCGATATGCTGTAGGCATGTATACGTCCCTCTTGACCGACACACCCACCTCACGGAAATGGGTCAACGTTTCCCGCGTAGCGACATGCTGTAGGCATGTCTACGTCTCTCTTGACCGACACACCCACCTCACGGAAATGGGTCAACGTTTCCCGCGTAGCGACATGCTGTAGGCATGTCTACGTCCCTCTAGACCGACACACCCATCTCACGGAAATGGGTCAACGTTGAACCGCAGCAAATTGTGGTATAGGGAAATAGGTCAGATAGAGCTGAACTACTACACTGCCCCTCTTATCCTAGCGGCTGCAGGTAAGGAGAGCATGCACTCTAGGACAAGACATGTCTCCTTGTTTTGATATTGTCGCCGAATAACATAAACATGATAAACATGTTTAGCGTAATATTTTACAGTTAGGAATATTTAAAAAATATGAAAAAAAAAAAATATGTTCATAATTATTGATGTATTTCATGTGTAGACAAAGATATAGTTTCTTTTAAAAGTTTGATTGCATCTTTCCAATGATTACTCATCCCCATGGCCCATGCCCCCAAACTTCTCAAACCCATAACAAATAAGGCACCGCACCTGGTCCTGTTCAATAATGCCATTGTTAATGGCAGTTAGAAGTTTAACCGAGAGAATATTCAAATGCATCATGATTATGATGAACTTGTCTCCACAGAACTGTGACACAAGATCCAGGCAGTGATACCTCCTGCATTAGTGGGCCCACAATGCCTAAAAGATTGGCATGTTCTCCTAGGCCTCTAAACAATGACACAGGACTTGACGCTCCGGGGTTGCGACCACTTCAAATCTTTCTTCAGCCCTACCTCAGACATGATGACAATCACCTGCTAGTTTGATCGGTTTCTCCGGCGGTGGATGATCCCAGAGACAGAACTCATGCCGACTAATTATCTCTCCATAGGTTTGGAGCGCACTTTGTCGATCAGACGACCTCCTTCCTCTGGTCCGGGTGGCGGTCGGGTAGCCTAGTGGTTAAAGCGTTTGCTCGTCACGCCGAAGACCCGGGTTCGATTCCCGACATGGATACAATGTGTGAAGCCCATTTCTGATGACCCCCGCCGTGATATTGCTGGAATATTGCTAAAAGCGGCGTAAAACCAAACTCACTCACTCACTCACTCCTCTGGTCTGGTTACTCCAGACAGGATGTGCAAGTGTTGTTCAAGGCACATTTTCCCATCACTAGAGGCCTCTATGATAACAAGTGGTGTCATTTGAGGCTTTTTGTTGGCGTCATGTTAAGTCTCCTATAGAGGCTACTCCGCAGTTCCTAACCCGGCTTCCTTGTGTACTTGCATCCAACCCACCATCTGATTGGAGAAACTATCTATTGCTACTTATCCCGCCGCCATCATCTAAGTTTTAGCTGTCCCTTGAAATATGGAAGTTTCACAAGATATGAAAGCTCCAGCTTATTTAACATAAGTTGGAACTTTCATATCTTGTGAAACAGAAGTTTTGTCCACCAGCTTGGGACATTAACTCTTTCAACACCGTAGGCTGGTTTTCCGGCCAAGAAGCATCGAGTCCCCAGACACCGTAGGCCGGTTTACCGGCCAAGCCGTAGTCACGTCAAAACAGTATATTGTTTTATGGACCTACCTGTAATATCATTCATTTATTAAATCTAACACATTTCACAATGTCTAAAATACATATTCTATTTCAATTTATCATTTTTTATCGATAAATTAAAAAATTATTCACTATTTCCCGCGATGTTATTGAAAATAAAATTCTCGGACACACATTTCGACAACGGGTCAACATCGAACATGTCAAAGAGCAAAATAAAGACGTATACAAAGTAATAAATAAAATCAACAAAAATATATCTAAAAGTAATCAAACTTACATCTAAGTTATTATTTCGCATGTAATGTAAGTCAAATGACATCTCGGCTTTCGTCGCCTTGAATTCTCGGCTCGGACACGATGTTTAATGCAAAAATATATGCATGAAAATTCTTTGTCACAGCTCGTAACCTAGTGCAATACATTCACGGAGTTCAATATTTTTAATATATTGTGATTTCCTGCTTAGAACGTTCAGAATAACACGATTTAACAAAAATCTTTCGCCAACTTCTGAAATTTATGAAACACGAGCTTGGTATCACAGCTGTAATTTGATTGGCTGCCTTAGGTCACGTGCTCAAAATTATCCAATCACGAAACTTGTAGCAGATTTCGGCAAAAAGCGTCATTAGAAACCAATTTTAATCCTATTAAATCGCTTGTTATAACTACGGGGAAAAAACAGGCGATAATACGAGCATTTAGATGAAGGAATAAGCTTTCCAGCAATGTGTCATATGCCATTCTTCGACAAACGTGTTATTCCTACGAAGCCTCGAAAACAGGGGTATTTCTTCATGTTACTGAGCGAACAGCCGCTGTTATCGGGAAATGGGTGATGACAGAAACTATTTATAATTCTTTTTAAAATGATTTTCCAATTACGTAAACAATGAAAATAAAATAGAAATAGGTAAGTGGATTTTATGAAATCTTATATTTGCCGAAAATCGACAAGTTTTCGCTTCCTTGGTCCTTAATCTGGATGTTAACAAGGTGTTAGCTTACATTTTTTATTTACAACAAACTTAATTTGCATTATTTTAAATAATGTGAAAAACATAACTTTCATATTTATAAACCATAGGATCAGACCTTTCAAATGGTGTATAACATGTAGTAGCAAATATATTTTACAAGCAGATATTTTCTTTGATAAATGTTGGCTTCATCTATCACACAAGAGTCTCTGGGAACTCGGTGTCCCAGCAGTAAACACTTCTGGTTGACTGGTGTTGAAAGAGTTAACATCCTACTACGTCACCTTTGCCAGGCAACTTACACATGACGTCGGTGTCCCTCGAGTGTCGGACCATGAAATACTATTTTTGATAGCCCTTGCTACAGCTGCATGTCTAGGTCAGCTACACAGCCTCCACATTAACAAGGTCAAGTTTGAACTGTCTTGTCATGGTGTGGTTCATCTGTTGGGACTTTATAGCCAAGAACCATATCACCAGTCCAACTATTTTTTTCTGTAGTGTGATCTGAAGACGAGGTGGAGTTGCTATTATGACTGCTATGTCGCTTCCATCATGGAGGTATGTTTTGGGGCCTTTGGTGGTCCGAAGACTTCTTCCATATTATACCACCAGGTACCATTCCTGTGTTATCCCCCCAAACTTGGATACTGTTCATGTAAACCCTGGAGAGTGGCAGGCGAGATGAGTCAGAACATCTCACTTTCTGTGTGACACAGGCATACAATTTTTTATTTGTTCTTCGGCCAATAATCACTGATGTAAGAAGAAATTGAATGAACTGTCAGTGTTTATTTAATTGAATGTATTACCTACGCAGTGATATGCGCAGCATATTTCTGGACTGTGCCATACCACCAGCTAGATCTGTGTGTGGAGATAATGGCAACAATTAGAAAGCGTTCTCATGTTTTTCATGCAAATAGGATAGCTTCCTCTAAGGTTCTAATGATTAATAGATGCATGCCTCGTCTAAGGCAATTTGCCTTGTATTGATTATTGGTTTGTCAGCAAACATTAAGCTCTTTGGGTGTTTGTATAACAAAATCAAATACATTTCTAAATATTTACATCAGAATAGTGTATCATATACTGAACTAATTATTGTGAATGGGCCCTTGGTTCTTTAGGGAAAACACTTTCATTCTGGCTGGGTTTGATGATTTGCAGATGCTACATTCTTGTAAATTGACTTGTATTGTGCTGCTAACTGAAACATGGCATTATATCACCAGGTGAAGCAGAGATGAAGGAGTTACAGAGACGGCTAGAGGAGACAGAGACACAGATGACACAAATCCTTAAAGCCATGCAGCTGGTACAGAACAAAGTGGTGGACCATACCCAGGTAGACACAGGCACCCACTACGTGGGACTACATCCTGGTGGGGTAGAGTGGGGTAGAGTTGCTCAAGACCATACCCAGGTACACATGGGCACCCACTACGTGGGACTACATCCTGGTAGGGTAGAGTTGGGTAGAGTTGCTCTAGACCATACCCAGGTACACATGGGCACCAACTACTGGGTACTACATTCAGGTGGGCGAGAGTGGGGTAGAGATGCTCCTGACCATACCAAGGTAAACAGGGGCACCTACTACGTGGGACTACATCCTGGTAGGGTAGAGTTGCTCCAGACCATACCAAGATACACATGGGCACCTACTACAGGGGACTACATCCAGGTGGGGTGGAGTTCCTCCTGACCATACCAAGGTGCACATGGGCACCCACTACATGGGTCTACATCCTGTTGGGGTAGAGTTGCTCCTGACCATACCAAGGTACACATTGGCACCCACTACGTGGGACTACATCTTGGTAGGGTAGAGTGGGGTAGAGTTGCTCCAGACAATACCAAGGTACACATTGGCACCCACTACGTGGGTCTACATCCTGGTAGGGTAGAGTTGTTCTGACCATACCCAGGTACACATGGGCACCCACTACGTGGTACTACATCCTCATTGGGTAGAGTTGCTCCTGACCATACCCAGGTACACATGGGCACCCACTACGTGGTACTACATCCTCATAGGGTAGTGTGGGGTAGAGTTGCTCCTGACCATACCCAGGTAGTGGGCACCTACTACGTGGTACTACATCCTCGTAGGGTAGAGTGGGGTAGAGTTGCTCCTGACCATACCCAGGTCATCTTCCCGAGGCAAGAGAGTTTACTGACTATAAAAGTCCAGTTTCCACCCTTGCCGAACTAGGCTGGTATTATGGAGTTACATTTTGGCTGGACTAACGAGTCTATGCATAGTCCAATCAAAATCGCAATTGTTGTCAGCAGATATTTTCCAAATCTTTTCATGTTTTTAATCAAGGTGCTCGCGTGATTTGATGCATTTCGTGATGTAAGGCCCGTTTTATAACAATATAGATCTTGATTATCGATCATACGTCCTGAGTGGGTGCCACCATTTTGTGTGAAGCAAACGCAAGTGATAAGAGAGGTGGAATCTGATTGGTCCATAGAAAAGGCTTAGAAGGGACATAGCTGGTAATAGCCACTGGTGGAGCTACGATCGAGCCCAGTAATTCCAGCCTAGTTCGGCAAGGTTTGAAACTGGTCTTTTAAAGTCAGTTAACTCTCTTGCCTCGGGAAGATGTACCCAGGTACACATGTCCATCCGCTACATGGGACTCATCCTGGTAGGGTAGAGTGGGGTAGAGTTGCTCCTGACCATACCCAGGTACACATGGGCAACTACTACGTGGTACTACATCCTGGTAGGGTAGAGTTGCTCCTGACCATACCCAGGTACACATGGGCGACTACTACGTGGTACTACATCCTGGTAGGGTAGAGTGGGGTAGAGTTGCTCCTGACCATACCCCGGTACACATGGGAACCCACTACGTGGGATTACATCCTGGCGGGGTAGAGTGGGGTAGAGTTGCTCCTGACCATACCCAGGTACACATGGGCACCCACTACATGGGACTCATCCTAGCGGGGTAGAGTTGCTCCTGACCATACCCCGGTACACATGGGAACCCACTACGTGGGATTACATCCTGGCAGGGTAGAGTTGGGTAGAGTTGCTCCTGACACATGGGCACCCACTACAGGGGACTCATCCTGGCGGTGTAGAGTGGGGTAGAGTTGCTCCTGACCATACCCAGGTACACATGGGCACCCACTACGTGGGACTACATCCTGATGGGGTAGAGTTGCTCCTGACCATACCCAGGTACACATGTGTACCCACAATGTGGTACTACATCCTCGTAGGGTAGAGTGGGGTAGAGTTGCTCCTGACCATACCCAGGTACACATGGGCACCCACTACACGGTACTACATCCTGGTAGGGTAGAGTGGGGTAGAGTTGCCCCTGACCATACCCAGGTACACATGGGCACCCACTACGTGGTACTACATCCTGGTAGGGTAGAGTGGGGTAGAGTTGCTCCTGACCATACCCAGGTACACATGGGCACCCACTACGTGGGACTACATCCTGATGGGGTAGAGTTGCTCCTGACCATACCCAGGTACACATGTGTACCCACTATGTGGTACTACATCCTCGTAGGGTAGAGTGGGGTAGAGTTGCTCCTGACCATACCCAGGTACACATGGGCACCCACTACGTGGGACTACATCCTGGTAGGGTAGAGTGGGTTAGAGTTGCTCCTGACCATACCCAGGTACACATGGGCACCCACTACGTGGGACTACATCCTGGTGGGGTAGAGTGGGGTAGAGTTGCTCCTGACACATGGGCACCCACTACAGGGCCTCATCCTGGTAGGGTAGAGTGGGGTAGAGTTGCTCCTGACCATACCCAGGTACACATGGGCACCCACTACGTGGGACTACATCCTCATGGGGTAGAGTTGCTCCTGACCATACCCAGTTACACATGGGTACCCACTACGCGGTACTACATCCTCGTAGGGTAGAGTGGGGTAGAGTTGCTCCTGACCATACCCAGGTACACATGGGCACCCACTACGTGGTACTACATCGTCGTTGGGTAGAGTTGCTCCTGACCATACCCAGGTACACATGGGCACCCACTACGTGGTACTACATCCTCATAGGGTAGAGTGGGGTAGAGTTGCTCCTGACCATACCCAGGTAATGGGCACCTACTACGTGGTACTACATCCTGGTAGGGTAGAGTGGGGTAGAGTTGCTCCTGACCATACCCAGGTAGTGGGCACCCACTACGTGGTACTACATCCTGGTAGGGTAGAGTGGGGTAGAGTTGCTCCTGACCATACCCAGGTAATGGGCACCTACTACGTGGTACTACATCCTGGTAGGGTAGAGTAGGGTAGAGTTGCTCCTGACCATACCCAGGTAGTGGGCACCCACTACGTGGGATTACATCCTGGTAGGGTAGAGTGGGGTAGAGTTGCTCCTGATCATACCTAAGTACACATGGGCACCCACTACGTGGGATTAAATCCTGGTGGGGTAGAGTGGGGTAGAGTTGCTCCTGATCATACCTAAGTACACATGGGCACCCACTACGTGGGATTACATCCTGGTGGGGTAGAGTGGGGTAGAGTTGCTCCTGATCATACCTAAGTACACATGGGCACCCACTACGTGGGATTAAATCCTGGTGGGGTAGAGTTTCTCTTGACCATACCCAGGTACACTTTGGCACCCACTATGGAATGACGTCATTGATGGCTCCAATCTAGAGCCAGGGACATTTTTACATGTTTGGGTGTCAGTTTGTTTTGAAAGAAGTAAGTCATGAAACATAAGATGCCTTCCTCCTCATATTCCTATGGTTGTTCAGATATATTTCTGTTTGCCATATTTGAATTTGTTTGACATTTGGCCTATGCAGTTCCGGATGAATGAATATGCACATTTGAAAAAAAATGATTAATTACCTCTGAAGACCTGGATTTGGTTTGTAAAAACTAAAACTAAATGACATTATCCATATGAAGATATATGTATATTTTATGTGGAAGTATGCGGGTTGATTGATAGGTTCTGAGCCTCACATGGAAGAGAAGTAATTGTGTAATAGTGAAATCTGTTGTTGGGGATATTACATAATGTGAAAGAGGTATATCCACAAAAACTCCAGTCATTTGAGCAAATGTTTTCACTGACAAATAAGTATAATAAGCAGGGATCTCTGGCATTTAGAAATGGACAAACTTGACAAAATCGCAGTGATCAAAATACAGTGTAAAAAAGGGCTTGACACCGAAAGCTATCCATTTGATACATTGACCTGAGGGGAGCACAAATGCCCTAGTCACCTAATAATAAGTAATATACTGTAAATCACTGTGCAGAGTTACATGCCTGAACTTATTATCATGTGTTCTAATGCCAGATTTGCCCTGGTTATCATGGTTATGTTTCTAGGTTAGTCAGTGTGATACCTGTGCTTGTGGGTTACACCAATGACTCACCTTCGTCTTTCCTCCCACATTAGGTAGACACACTGTTATATCAACCAACTCACCCACTCATACACCAGTGAAGCACATTTTTCCTGCAAGTGCCTTGCTTCTATTACATCATGCCAATTATCCTGTATTTTGGCTGTCATCACACTATAAACATCTTTCAATTTTCACATTAGTCCTCTTCACTGTCAGCTTTCCATAATCTGTTGTTTGAAAAATAGTTTTCCATGGCCCAGTACTCTTGCACCAGCCCAGCCTTCCTGTGTTTGCTAGGGGAAACATTTTGTAGTATTGTTTCACAAGATATCTGATGCCTTGAAGAAGGCTAGAGGCAGGAGACAAAGAAAACTTATGCAACTGCAGCCCCTATAGCTTCTACATTGTCAGAGAAGTGATAACATCCCAAGGGAAAATCTCCTCCTGCATCATCCGAGACCCAAAATAATAGCAAGCCTCAATCCACCTCAGCAATTTCCTTTTGTGATTTTGAGCAGCTAATCAATTCTAAACAGGCGGCTATGCTGACATTGAGGTGGCTGGCTGTCTTATGAAAAGCTTCACATGATTTGTCTTGAGATGAAAGTAATCTACCATGCATTAAGGACATGAAAGCATCGGTTGAGACTATCTTTGGTCCTGGTGGTTATGGACAAAACAACAGTGGTAGCACTCATCCACAGACAAGGTAACAAGCAGGTTCCATTTACGAGACAACACTTATAATTGCTTTGGCTGACTCAATCAGCTGCAGGATGAGGCTTGTCATATCCCAGGAAAACTCAACATTTTGTCAGTCTGTTGACACTTAGTTGACACTTGCCTCAACAACAAACAGTATAGATCCTCAAGCTCTACAAGTGGATGCATTATCCATGAGATGGAAAGGGATGTTTACCTCGTCAGAGGACATGGTCACTCCTGAGGAAGTTGGATGACAAAGATTGCATCATGATCCCAAGTTGTTTCCACTACTCATGGAGGAACCACTCAAAACTACCTGAGTACCCCGATCTTCTATGTCAGCACAGATCTGACATATGTCACCTCCACAGACTTCACCTTCAAGCATGGAAACATGGCTCAGATGCAGGCTTAGCTTCAGGCTCATCCAAGTTGACATCAGAAGGGATGGTGCAATCTTGGAGACCTCCTTCATCTGCCAATTATGACAGTAGATGAGATAAGTTCTGTCAGTGGTGGAGAAGGAGACTGGGAAATGACAATGTTACTATACCCATGGTGTTGGACTTCTTGCTCCATCTTAGGCAGGACAATACATATCGTCATGGCACTACAGAAGGATATAGATCAGCTTTAGACAATCACTTCACAGACTGATGAGATCCTTTTTACTGGGAGATGTCTGAACTCTACATGCCTTCCCGAAGTGGAAAGTATCTGTTGTATTGTCTGCATTGATTGAGGAACCATATGAATCTTTAGCATGAGCGTCTCTTCTTCAGGTATCTAGAAAGCCAGCCTTCCTGCTAGCTGTGGCTACAGCTGCTAGAGTATAGGAGATACATGCACTAGACTTGCACTTTCAGTTGCAAAAGTGGTTTCCAGCTGCCAGTTGAAGTCCCACAACACTTTCACTAGTTTCTACTTGTTTATCATTCAAGCTGTTTTAGGGGGCAAGGGTGGCCCAGTTGTCTGAGGCGCCGCAATTCACTGTGCAGAGTTGCGTCCCTTGGGCACGCCAGAAACCTATGATCGTGGGTTCGAATCCCGGTTCGCCCCGATTATGTTTCTAGGTTTGTCAGTACCATGCCCGTGCTCGTGGGTTTCACCGAAGTGGTAAACGTCCGAGACCTGCATCACTTCGGGCTTTCCTCCCACATTAAGCTGACACGCCGTGATATAACTGGAATAATGTTAAAAGCGGCGTTAAACCCAACTCACTCACTGACTCACTCACTCAAGCTGTTTTATACTATACTATACTATACTATACTATACTATACTATACTATACTATACTATACTATACTATACTATACTATACTATATAGTGGTGGCACAGGTGGTAGTCAATGGATAGAATCATATTATAAGATATGGAGTCGATATACAGACCACTGGAAGTGACATCATCAGAACAGGAAGTGTTCTCATGGATCCATAAGTGAAGGAATGCAATATAACGGTAGTTCAGTTGAAGTTAACTGTATTGTGCACATTCATAACGCCTTCTAATTTACACCTTATTAGGTCATTCGAGAGTACATACTATCTAAGGATTACTAGATGTCAGAAGCTGCAGGTCTCTCTAGTATATTCTGGCAATGATGTAATAGATATAAGGAATTCGCAGGAATTATTAAACAATAATTGTTAATAATTCCAAGAGTGCTACTTCTCTTACATCAGGAGTAATCTCACCCACTTCCCGAATTATCTGCATTTAGGTTGATGTTTGATTATTGGAGAGAAGTTAAGGTTTCCTGTCTTAAGCATGTGTAGGACCATTGGCAAATAGAAGACTGTTATCCAAATGACTGATTGAGGATAACTGACAGTTAAGAGGACACCTGTTAAAAATATAAAGATTTTTGAAGTGTGATGACAGCCAAAATACAGGATTATTGGCAATGATGTAATAGAGGTACACAGGCGCTTGATGATAGCGTGTATAGCATAATACATTCGTATAGAAAATATCACACCCTTCCATATATAAGGACAAGGAGTTACACCTGCCATCTTGTCCTTATTCACAGCTCGATATCACATGAAATATGAATGTCACTTATTTGAACCTATTGGTACTTGCTAAACAAACGCAAGGCTACACCACTGTGTTCATCTTTGGTCACCTTACCTCATATTTATTTGGAAACAACCATCAGATCTCAACCCTAAGCTTCGCCGCTGATGTAAACAAGGAAAAGGTGTCTAGAAATGATGGAACTTCACAGGCTTGAACATAGCAAACGTCATAATTTGTGCCATAATTTCAGGCCACCTTTTCCTTGTCCTTGACTATGCTTGTCATAAGAGGCGACTAACGGGATTGAGTGGTCAGGCTCACTGACTTGGAGGATACATGTCATCGATCCCAATTGCGAGGATCGATGCTCATGATATTAATCACTGGAATGTCTGGTCCAGACTCGATTATAAAGCTGGAATATTGCTGAGTGTGGGGTTAAACAACCAGTAAACACCAAACCAACCAACCAAATCGGACAAATACGAGATAAGGATATTTCAAGCGAGCTGTGAATTGAACCGAATGCTAAATCTTGAAAAAGGACCAAGATGGCTGGTGTCACTCCTTGTCTATATGTATAGAGGGGTGTGATTTTTTTCTATGCAAATATATTATGCTATACATGCTATCATCAAGTTCCTTGTAGAGGTAGTATTCTTAGACATATTACCAGTAAAAATGATAATTATTGTTTGATTTCCTCATATTTAGGAGCAGAAAGGCAAATCTCAAGACTCAAGCCAAGATATTGACAGTTATGAGATTGTCAACAAAGGTGGAAAGATGAGCAAGAGTGAGAAAGACCAGGAGACATCAACGGAGAGCAATGCTGGTGCTCCTGATACTGATGGAGTGGACAGTGTAGGGGTGGAGGAAGCTGGCCACTGTCCCACAACACCTGAAATAGGAGACAAAATGCAGTCACACTGTGAAGGAGGAAACTCACAACTTGGAAAGGATGGTAACACAGAGGAAGAGAACAAGGAGAGGGAAGAGAACAAGGAGGGGGGGGAGAACAAGGAGGGGGAAGAGAACAAGGAGGGGGATGAGAACAAGGAGGGGGAAGAGAACAAGGAGAAGGAAGAGAACAAGGAGAAGGAAGAGAACAAGGAGGGGGAAGATGTAATACTACAGAGCAGAGAGGATTCAGATGAGAAGAATGTGCGTCATCGTCAAGTACCTCAGCCTCACCCACAATGAAGCCAGTAAAGCCTTGAATGTCACCCATTAATTATTTCCCAAGTTCGTTTGTAAACACATCAGTTTTTGAACTAATCAAGTGACAAAATAAAACCCAACAAACAGCCCAGAAAGTATGAAATCATTATGGCCTGGACACACCAAGACACTTCAATCATTAGGGGTGCACCCTCCATATACACTGTTTCAAGATTTGAATGATGAAGGATTAATTGGAAGCTACACAGTACATGTTCAAATGTGCAGGTGTGATTTAGATTGTGGTTTCCAGGAATTTCATTTGGAACTGACGATGTTACTACAACTGTATTCCTTCTTAACCTAATATGTTACCTCTGATAGTAGTCACTGCTGGTTAATTTGATAGATGAAAGGGTTGAGCCCTTTAGACTAGATCTACAAGTATACAGCTGATTTAAACGATACATGACTCGCCTGTTAGGTTCTTTATGAAGTCAAGTCTTGTAATCTAATCAGTCTATGAATAATACTTCTAAGAAAATGTCACTGATGTCAAACAAAAACCAGCAAGAAATGAAACTATTTGGAACTATAATGTCGATTAAGGCCATGTATGGACATTGATAACCGAATACAATGACAATTATAGCTCAATGTTTTTTAAACTTTTAGTATTTGTGCTTGTGCAATATTTTACAGAATCTCATGGTCATGTTACAGGCCTTCAGCTTGTACACAGAGGACCCATGTGTGTCATCTCTAGAGGTTGTCTTGCTAAGTGAGATGACTATATTAATAAGTACCATCCTGTCCTGTTTATCCAATTAGCCAGATACGTTGCAGATTGCCAAAGTTGTGTTCCTGCTTCTTTTAGTAGCATTGTAGTAGTTGTGGTTCTAGGTGGTGAGGAACTATGTCTGTTTGACTTGTTTGTGATGTGAATAGAACAAGATGTGCAATATGAACAATTCCCAGTAAACATTATGCTGCCATGAATTTTTAAGTTACTCGATTCTGATTGGTTAATGAGAGGTATCAAATCACGATAACCATCTCTTATTGAAACAGACGATTTAAAGCCTGTGTCACCATGGAAGGTAATATTTGTAGAAAAGTATTTCTTTCTCAATCTTTGTCGGAAGGCATTTTTAAATAATTATACGTACAATTATGTGTGGAAAAACATTTTAGGCAGAAAAACACAATAGAAATGGACTAAACGAGTGTATTTTGAGTTTTGGGAACACAGAGGGGTAGCCATTTGGTGTCTTTCTACAACCGACTGTGATGTCAAATGTTCTGCATCACAATGTGTGGTGTGACGCCATAATATTGATATGTGATGTAAGGAGCTTGTGAATTTCGCTTAGTTTTCTTTAGGGGTGCACTCTTCATGTAGGCTAAGGAAGTTGCTGTGCTAAACACTTTCAGTGCCTGTTTTATGTGCAAATAAGGTATACACTTGGAAACAAACAATTTGAGTATATACAGCCCCAAACTTTGTTTATTATCAGTGGTTCATGAATTCAATACGATAACCCACTCAAAATATTGAACTCAACCCACTCAATGTCGTGGCTAACACCAAAGAGTTCACATTACTTTTTGTCATTGTAAAATGAAGATAAACACACTGTGCTTACAATGTTGAACTAATTGACCTGTACATTTAATTGCATGTTCTGTTCATGTTCAAATTCAATTTAGTGCAGTGCTAAATATACAGGTACCCATGCTTCACTTTGACAACATAGTATGTTTATCTCCTAATTATCACTTATCTATTATTTCTCTAAATCACATCCCAAATAAAACCTTCTTCTCACCCTTGGTAGATCTAGCCAATAATAAAGCTAACACTTGCTATGACGGATCCAGCATTGGTAAGTTTTGGGGCTATGGTTTTTATTATTATGTACAAAAAATAATGCAGAGAAACAAATATGTATTTCTTCATATTCACGATTTGATCCCTTTACTTCATGCCCAACCCACACAGGCACACGTGCAGCTGCTGCAGACTGACAGTGCAGCACTACCTGGCTGGCTGGCAAGGAATGAGCAGTATACCTTTATGAGGGTCTTAGCAACCTTATGGTGCATGGTCTCCTTCTGATTGGTAACTTTTGTTCTCTGTCCTGAAACAGCTGAAGAGATTGTCTAGCTCCAAAAGAGAACTCTGGGGGAAAAAATAAGAATGTCCCTACAGAACCACAAGTGAGTAAGTGACCGTAAAATGACTAAGTTTTGTTGTGGTTCAATGAGGATATGAAGGACGATGCTGAAATCACAATGCCAAGACTGCTGAAATTGGTAGGACATGTAGTACTATAAGTGCACTCAAGTTTAATAATTTACAACAAGGATTTAGTTTCTTAAGTAACAAGTGTCAAGTATGTCTTTCTCTTAGACTTAATTCTTAACTTTGGTCATTTTTTACTATGTTTTGAAAATAGAAGAATTTTTTACTCGATTGTCTGCTAGTTGTTGTGATACCTTGCATAGCATCACTATGTTTGTCACACGTTTGTCATCATGGCATTGTTCTTTTATGTTCCTTTGAAGACATATTGATGTCATACTGTCTTTCAAATCCAACAGACCATATTACACAGCCAAATGATACTCAAAGTATTGAGAACTTAAGACAGCCACATTTTCCTCCATGGCTAATATAAATGTATATCTTTCAGCTCACTCAGAATATGACTGGTGTGCACCAGTGGATTGGCATTATCATGTTTGCTTCAACACCTATGCAGGCAGATCTATGATCCAAATAAAGCCTTATATTGGTTGTAGACTAACAGTTCGTTAGCAGACTTTGGCACATCCTTGCAGAATGTCATTGCCTAAATATTTTACTATTTATGTATGAGCCACATCTTGGTCCTTTGTGTTGCTGATGTTATAATGACAGTGTATGAACAGGGCAACATGTTGCTAGGATAAGATCATATTAAACTGCTAGAAGTGGATGTATTTTTTATAAATGTGTATAAGAAAGATAATGTGTGTGAATGTACTGTTATTTAGGATTTGTTAACAAAGTTGATTGTCTGTCTTAGGAAATCTGTTTGAAAGACTGTAATACTGTTTTAACATATGTGAAGTAGATGTGATGATTTAATGGAGTTAATGGATGTTAAGCTCACCTGACCCAAAGCCAAATGAGCTTTAGTCATGGTCTGCTTGTCTGTCTTCAGTACCTGGTAACCTCATCTCCTAAGTCCTAAGAAACAGTGAAGTAGGAACTTGGCATGCTTGTTCCCACCAGAGATAACATCTCAAGAGGTGCACATGAGATGCTCAGTATGACCATCAGGACAGCAGAGTAATGTCTAGATTGTAGTTAAGCTTGACATATATGTCCTGCTTTTTGTGATATTTAAATATTGACCTTTATTTGGCCACTTTGAGCATGTCCTACCTTCTGTGCACTCGCAGATGTGTGCACATCTCTGAAACTGCTAAACTGGTGAAGCTGAAGTTAGGTAGGCAATTTTCTTTTAATGATGAGACACAAATTGTGGTATGTTGCTCATTATACAGGGTTTGTACAGGATTTCAGTGTTAAAATTCAATGCCTTTTCTCTACAAGGCTCCATCTCCAAAATTCAAGTTAATGCAAATTTATCAGTATATGCCAGGTACATTTACCACCATTATCACATGAAAACATGGTTCACTTTGAGGACTTTTCTGTTCTATTATGGATTCAGGCATACAGATGAATCTAATGCACACAGCCAGTTATTGGAAGTCTGGTCCAGACTTGGTTATTTATTCAGTCATATAGCTGGAATATTGGTGAGTGCAGCGTTCCACAAGCAAAACACTTGTCTACATACCGGTACTACATGTATTCCACAATAGGTCATTGTTTCTTGGAAGTTTGTAACAGGTTCTTTTTCCAACTCTAAATGAACATATTTATGTTTATATAATTTACTTGCAATGTGTATTGAAGAAGGCAATTACAGGGCTTTCATGGCATATCCATTTTCAAAACAAAGTTTGAATGCAATATGTTGCAGACAGCAGCATAAAATAAAGTTGTTTTGTGTATGAGGAATAAATTATTTATTTTTGCGTGTTTCCGTTTTGTTTACCTTAACATGTTTATTTGATTTTGACTATATTTCCTGAATCTCTGTTACCTTGTCACTCACCTGTGGTGTCTCAATCACATAATTTTGTCCCAAAATTTTCTCTTCTTTATGTGTCTTCATACAATGTTGATTAGCAGCAATATGTGGTATGCCCAGAGGCCAAATAAGATGTGTCTGTAAATAATCAAGTCTGGACCAGACAATCCATTGATGGCATGCTTCAAACCAAGTCAGCGAGCCTGACCACCTGATCCCCTTAGTCGCCTTTTATGGCAAGCATGGGTTATCTGTCAAAAGAGTTACTGGATATATGTTGTGTAGAAAATGTTTTTTTGTGTGCATTAACTCATCTTCTTGTAGGACCTTTTGATGTTCCAAAATATCAGGTGAGCTACACAGCCTTATTGCTCCTTTTTTTACCAAAATAAAATATTGTGTAAGAATCTGATTAGCTTGGACTTGGATTTCATAAATTATGACACTTGTATGACAGGAAATGGAAAAACCTGTCATGGGAAGGTCGTGGTATAAACTTTACTGTGGTAGTTATCTGATAACAATCCTTGTTACCTTTACAAGTTGTATTTATTCATAGTTCTATGAATGTCTTTACAATACATATGTGTTTGTTATTTATTGAATAAGCACTTACAAATTCGGACATGCTCAGTTCAAAGCAGCATTATGTCCCTCGCACTCACGTTTAGTGTCTAGGAAATTTCTTTTAGCATGGATCAAAGGTAAAATGATCTGAGCGACAGTGATCAGGAGGGCTGCTTAATATGTTTTTCTCACATTTGATCACTGCTGCACCACACACTTCAGACAGATATTCATGACCTCATTCCTGTCTTTTCTCAAATATTGTCCCAACAAATAGGTTTCCGGATATCTTAACCTCCCCTATCCAAATTCTCATGCATAACTCAGGCATTATGTAATGCATACTATCTGCATACATCAAAACATTGTATATGACAAATCTATGTTTACATGTTTGGTGTCTGCAACAATTCTGATGGGTCAATTTTTTCTTTTAAAATGTCACAAATTATTGTCTAAAGTCACAAAAAACTCAAGGCTAGTTTTATGATTAGTATTCTTATACTGACAGATTTCCTACTTTTCCCGACCGCCTCCGTGGTCTAGTGGTAGAGCGTCCGCCCAGAGAGCGGAAGGTCCGGGATTCAATCCCCGGCCGCGTCATACCAAAAGAGGTCAAAAGATGGTACTTGTTGTTACCCTGTCTGGCGCTCGGCATTAAGGGGCTAAAACAAGGACTGGTCGGCTCGGAGTCAGTATACTGTGTCTGAGTGGGGTATTCATGTTAAACTGCGGTAGGTATCTCAGTGGGCTAGCACTATAAATCGGCATCAGTCCGGACTAGTACAAGCAGCCACACACACGAGCACGTGCATGCACGTTGCTATATAAGTGCAATAATCTTAGACGTGACGTTAAACCCAATTTCACCTCACCTCGCCTTCTTTTCCCAGGTTGGCTCGCAAATGTTGATATCTCGCAAATGTTGATATCTCGCAAATGTGTACTGTGCAGACACTCTGTCACCTTTTCTTATAGCATGTATCAATGTTTATTCAGATTGTAGGCCATCCAGCCCTTAGTTCACATAACACATTGTGTTAGTACATAATTCAACTATGTCCCTATAAATATTATACACACATATCAAGACACAGTCCACAACAGTCCATGTACGGACATAAATACAACACAATATGTGTGTATGTACAAGTATATATGTTTATCATATCATGGGTAGGTGTCTCGGCAAGATACAAACGATATCCGTTGGGGTCATAAGGTGCAAATATCAAAGGGAGGGACTACTTTCACTGTTTATTAAGGCGATCAAATTAACCATCGGGAATCTGGAGAAAATCCTGGGATAATCATTATGAAAAGAATAGTCTGATATACTGAAGATCAGTGTCTAACTGTGACGTAGCTAAGGCATTTTCCAAGTTTTGGCAACTTTGGAGATATAAATTGAAAAACAATTTTGCACTGTGTACATCTGACTGCACTTTGTAACGTTAGGAGAGGCCGACTGTTAACAACATCTGACTGTGGCACTGACGTCTCAGACTAGGGTTGGGAAGCTTCACTTTGATAAAGGGCAGTAGCTCTATTGGACAGACGTGGATTGCTGCGAAAGGCAAGTAAAAACAATTTGTGTAGGCAATTGTTTTGCATATATGGAGTTACGCCACTGTATAAGAAACAGGTTCAGTTGGAATTGCCCGACTTGCACATCATTTATCCTCTGACATAATACACATTAATGCGCACATTCCAGGAAAACTTGCAGTGTTTTGGTAATGTTTGTGTGAGATGGAAAGAGATTTTTGAGCACAGAATTGAAGAATGACATCATATGATAAAGAGGTTATCACGCTTGTGTGTTTGGGGATGGTAAATATCCTGCATTAGGAATGAACACTCTGTATTTAGCTCGCTAGATACAATGTTATTCCCAAAACAGGATAGTTAACAACATCCCCAAACACACAAGCATGATTACTTCTCTTATCTGTGCGTGTGCGTGTGCGTGTGCGTGTGCGTGTGCGCGTGTATGTATGTGTACATGTTATTCCCAATACAGGATATTAAACAACAACCCCAAACACACAAGCATGATAGATAGATAATTATCTATCTATATCTATCTATCTATCTATCTATATCTCTCTCTCTCTCTCTCTCTCTCTCTCTCTCTCTCTCTCTCTCTCTCCAGTATGAAATACATCTCTTCATACAGTGAACTGCTAGAGGAATTCTTCCAACCTGGTTGAGTACAACTTCATTGCTTGTTTTACTACCAACACCTAGTATCTGTTTACAAAAAAATAGGTGAATTTTCTCAGAATTCTGGTATCCCATATATTTGAGCCATAGGTGAAGATTGGTACTACCATTCCATTAAACAGGAACGATGACTACTCAATATCAATGTTGTGTTTACGGATGAAGGATGCTTTTCTTGCTTGTGACAAATGTACTCAATGATAAATTCAATGAGAACACACATGGAGACACTTATATTGAGGTACTGCCACTTCTCTGGGCTCCTTACCGTGCCCCGCTTCTAAATACAATGACTTTTTGTTTATCTTTGTTCACTTTCATTTAAAATTTATTACAAAAGTCACTCAGAAGGTCAATCAGTAATATAAGTAATGACAGTTCTGCCGCAACTCCACTGGAGCCAGATTTATATACCTATACTACTACTACAGAGGGAATTTTTTATGCAAAAATGATGATGCGATTCAACGATCGTCATGATTCGTATTAAAAGAATCATCAATATTAATTAATAATGGATACAATTTACTATAGCCCACAAGGATATTGGAAAGGTATAGGAGCAATACAAAAATTAGCCACTGCGGCTAATGTATCTTAAGATGTGGCCAAGGATTGGCTAAAGAAACAAGCGATGTGGCAAATATACTTACTGGCACCGCGTTATATCCCAAGGAAGAAGTTTGATATTTTTACAATGAATGAAGTTCATCAGGCTGACCTCTTGTTTCTTCCCCATGATAAGGTAAGACGCAAAACATATAAATGCGCTTTAACCGTAGTGGATGTGGCAAGTCGCTACAAGGAGGCTGAACCATTAACCTCGAAAGATTCAACAGAAATAGCTAATGCACAGAGCCGCATAAATAAACGCAGACCTCTAAAATGGCCCAAGTTATTTCAAGTAGATCCTACTCGCGAGTTTATGTGATCAGTAACTAAACTATTAACAAAGCAGGATGTCGAAATCAGGCATGGTGAAAAAGAGGCCCACCGTAGTCAAGCTATCGTTGAAAGATTTAACCGGACATTAGCGGAACGTTCGTTTGGATATCAGTATGGGATTGAAATGAAATCGGATCGATTTAGATCATCCGAATGGTTGACACGATTATCAGCTGTTGTATCAGCGCTGAAAAATGAAGTAACAAGATTAATCGGGAAAACCATCCGATGCGATTAAAATGAAATCAGTGACTTCAGCACCGAGGAGAGGCAAAGAACAAAAACATCCTGATAGAGTAAGTGTAAGATATTTATACAAGCCCGGTGATCGATTTGGTCCCTTCAGATATATACCATTAGTCGGTTGGTTATGAAAGAAGGAGAGCCTATTCTTTATTATCTTAAAGATGGACCGGGCAGGGGATTTGTACGAGAAGAGTTGCTCATAGTTCCCAACGATACAGTATTACCACCATAATCATAAGCATAGGTAGTTACACCATCCTTATCCATCTCTTTGTATCTAAGGGGGATAATGATGTCTTGTTCATTCTTAATCCATATATGCTGTGATTGACACTTCTTAAAGTGTTCATCTCGTGTTTGAATGTTCTACCATTGAATAATGCTTCTTTATACTGTTCGTGTTTGATATGCTTTTTCACCACATACTTCTTAACACCCTTAGCTTTTCTTATCTCCCCATTATCGGACTTCTTTATAGAATACATCTTAGGTCTTAATCCAACATACTCTGCAATAGGGGTCCCAGCACATTCATCTTTCATCTTACCTAACACCTTTTTATTTACTACGCTGTGCAGTGGATTATCTTTTGGGTAATCGCTCGTGTCGGACATATCTGTTTTTTCTGCCACATCTTTATATACATCCTCGGTTTGTATTTCCATCAACAAAGAATCTGTATCGGTATATAACACCTCGCATCTATCGCCATATTGCTTCTTAAGTTCGTTGTAATAAAAGTCATACATTAAGTGTTTTGACAAGTCAAGAATACTCATACCAACGTACACCGGTCTGTTGAATTTTATATTACTCTTCTGTATATGTAGTGCAGCTAAGTCGTTATCGAATATCTTGCTTCTGTTAAAAGCCGGACTGGCTATAAGTTTCCTGAGTCTTTCTTCCTCATTAGATCTGACTAATTTAACATCAACACGCTTCCTTAGATTCTCCATAGTTTTACCAAATACCGAGTTATTCATGAGCTTATACAGATTCTTTTCGAAATCGCTGGTAGCTATCTTTCTTAAATCTGTGTTCAGCCTTCTATAGGGCTCCATCCAAAGGCTTTGATCAAACTTTAGAACTCTGTGTATTTTCTTTAGTTTCATGCCTAATGATAGACATAACTGGAGATTTCTATAGTGAACTATATATTTTGTCTTATCCATCAAATTTGGTACGAGTTTTTCTACATTAGCTAACCTTGTATTACCCATCAAGGAGTGTTGATATTCTGACATCCAATCTTTATTAACCATTAATCTTTCGGGAGCTAGCGGATAACTGTTATGGTCTTTGTGCAACTCTTTTGGATATTCCAAGTCAACTTCTAGTATGTACCCTTTATTCGCATCGGAATCAGATCATGATAATCACTTAAATTCTTACAACCTAATTTATCCCATACCATCATAGCGTGTTCATAATCGGCATCAGTTATTTTAGATTCTGTTAAGTTACTGTAGAATGATTCAAGGGGTGGTAATTTAGTTTCGTCAAATCTAGACCAATCATCCATATATTGGTAAGGATATACACCATTTTTCAACAACAAATGACAAGTTATCTGATCAGTATATTGATTTGGTATTGC